AATCATGAGGACTCTGTCACTCTTGGGGATGTGTCTGTGTGTCTCCCACTGTGGGTGAAAATGAGGATGAGTTCCTTAAGGGGGTATTTACACAGTTTTCCCATCTCAAACTTCAGTTCAATTCATTATGTCATTTGAGATTACAGGGACAAGCTGATTGACATTTCCCTTGAAATGTCAGAGCACACAAGGCTATGGGCCAAATGGTGGAAACTGGGACTGGAATAGATGGAGGTTTGGTGACCTGCACAGACACGATGGGCCGAATTGTGTTCTTCCACGCTGTAAAAACTAAAAAAAAGGTGAAACAGATCTACAGTGAAAATGATCACAAATTAAAATGCAAAGACAGTATCATTGAGAAAATATATGAATACGTCTATTGTTTCCCTGGTGGTCTAGTGGTTAGAATTCGGCGCTCTCACCGTTGTGGCCTCTGTCTGATTCCTGGTCAGAGAATAGAAGTTCTACTCTGCTAATTTATTGTGGTGACAGCATTTCTGACTGTTTTTTCAGGACCTGGAAGGTAATCTATTGTATTGAAAACGCTATTCAGATTAACATAAAACAAAGAACTGTGGAAAACCGACACAAAACAGGAATAGATTGAGAAATTCAGCAGGTCTGACAGCATCGGTGTAGAGAAATAGAGTTAACATTTCTGGTCCAGTGACTGTTCATAAGTGCAAGGTTTGTTATCAATTTCTATATTACAATGCCAGAGGAAATTATCAGCTCTGTCTGTTGAATCAACATATTTATCAAATTGCGCTCTCTCATTAGCTGACAACTGTCAACTTTACAACCTTAAAGGTATTTCGTTGGCTCTAATGCTCCTTCCATTGCCCAGACATGGTGAAAGGCTGATTAAATATTTGCCTTTTTCTTTTGCGTTGTGTCAGTTAGCAGCCATGTCGAATGGAGAATTGGTCCTTTCAGTGTCTACCTCAATATGTATCTCTATTTGTCTCACTTTGTCTCTGTGTATCCACTTCACCCCCTTTCACATTCTCCGACTCTCCTTCTGTCAAAATCCCTCATTTTCCATTCTTGCTCTGTGTAAAGTCTGAAATTCGGAGATAATTTAAGAGTGGAGCTGCTGAGAGGCTTTTACCCTCTGGCTGGAGTGTCTAGAACTGGGCTCACATTCCCCAAATAATGTGTCTGTCACTTAGGGCGGAGGTAATGAAATATTTCTTCTCTCAAAAGATTGTGAATCTTTATAATTCTAAATAGAATCCTCAATCCACCAGAAAAAAATACAATTAAATGATTATTGTGATGTATTTACTGTTTAGTGTAAAATGAATGAATGGTGACAGCGGAGAGTGAGGGTGATCAGCTCACTCTGACTGTGCCATTACCACAACATTCTCCTCTAAGTCTGCAATTTATCCTGCTCACCTTGTTACTCCGACAAAACTGGAAATGAAGGGATGAGAATAGAAGAAAAGGAGAAGCAGAAGTCCTTGTGGAACAGCTGAAAGGAACTTCATGATGAATCCATCAGAAAAAGAGAAGTCACTGAAGCAGTCTCCTGAGGACAAAGTGTTTTCTTTGTCAGTAAAATTCACCACTTCACTAAGCAGGGACCATTGAACTGAAGCAGTGACAGTTAATGTCTTTGCTGGTTGTTCACCTTGTAAATGTTACCATTGCTGCTCATGTCCCTGTCGGTACCACCACACTGCCGCATGTAAGCATTACACATACGTGGGGCGAGTGGTGCAATGGATAATGCGCCTGACTTCAAATCAGGAGATTGTAGGTTCGACTACCTAGCTCAAGTGTAATTCACAATTTCTTTACACTTCCAAACTAATCTTCCTCATTACCATGGAACCAAGATGAGCTTTGAATTTCTAATGTGCAGGATCGACACTACTTTCAATGTCTCACATCAGTAAACGTCACCGCAAATGTCAGAGGAGGGGAAGCTGAAATAGTCCCACAAAATTCACGTTCAATTTCCCACACCTACTGACCCAGTCACTGGATCTCCTGGGAATGGAAAGAAAACAAAACAAAAAATAAAACCAGTCTCTGCTTTGTGAGTCTTTGGGAAGCGGAATCAGAGGAGAATGAAGGTGAATTTTTCAACTGAGCAGCGGCAGTCGAGGAAGCTTCCCCTTCTTTAAAAGGCTGGGGCATTGACTCTGATGCTCTCGGGGACATTAACTGACCTGAGACACTGAAAGGATTCCCGTAAGAGATTGCTCTGTGTTTGATTTTGTTACTGTCAAGAACAATAAATCCTGATTCCCTGACCAGAAATCGAACCTATTATCCCAGTTTCCAACACTTAGCCTGGAGCCTTGTGTGCTCTGTTTCAAGCATTCATCTCAATGATATTTTCCCTGTAATGTTTTAATGTTAAGGGCCACAAAGAATGGGACTGAGATTTGAGATGGTAAAGTTGTGTTCATGCCACCTTGGGGAACTGAACCTCATTTTCACCCAGAGAAGGAAACACAGAGGCACATTGTCCCAAGAGTGACGTCAGCTACAGGAGAGACCAACCCCAGAAAGCAAGTATTTCACCCATCTGCCTTATATCGTTCCATTTCAGACTTCAAAACCAGTGTCTGGTTGCAGCAAAGAAAGGAAGCATTTGGCCTCTCCCCTACCTGTGTTACTCCCCCCATTGTTTCCCCATTTCTCTGCAGCTAATCCTGCCTCACCTCATTCTTCCTACCAAACTGGAACATTGCTCACACCGACTGCTTTCTGTCCTTCTGAAAGATCTTCCTCAAGTACCTGGAAGGACAAACAGGAATGTGGTATTTCAAACGCCTTTCTGGCTGGTTGAGGAAATGTCATGGTGGTGTTAACGCTGTTTCATCAGAAATAATTTCAAACGACTTTAAAGAGCTCCTTTGGTTGGTTCCAGCTGGTGGTAAACATTCTCTCAGGCCCCGGAAAGAATCAAACTCAAAACCACTGGGCGAATCACCAAACTACAAAGTCATGCATTTCAAACTGCAATGTAATAGATGACTGGATAATCTATGCATCATACACCAAGACAATGTAACAAATCCCATACAGAGCTGAGGGAATCATGTGCAGAAGGATGGGAGAATACAATGCCAAATCAGACTGCGTCCAGGGTGATATGAACGGAGATCTGCCCTGGTAGTCTAGTGATCAGGATTCAGTGACTTCAATGGTTAACATTTACAGTAATAAATATAAAACACTGACTAATCTTTAGAAGCAGAATTGTGTCATGGACCAGTCAGAATTGATTCACTGCATATTACTGTTCCACATTAGCAATGTCAGCTGTAATTGCCTGACGTGCAATCGGTTTAAAACAAGAAAAGAGCGAACATCAGGAAAAGTAAAGGTCAATGGTGGTTTGTGAGAGCTGACTGTAGGCCTAATGGAGCCAAACCCAATGTGGGTTCTGAAGACTGATTTTCACTGTTTACCCTGGTACATAGATCACTCGGAATCAATCACCCACAATGACTCTCCTTTGTGTGTTTGCCCTTTGCACATCTCACCTCGGTTCAGTGTCCAGAGGGGATCCACGCATGTTAACTTGGTAAATTTTACAAAGTCAGCTTTACAGTCTCATATTAAGACTGTAAACGTTCGGAGCAGAAAGACACCATTCAGCCCATTCAGTCTGCTCTGCCATTTAATGAGCTTGCGACTGATATAATAATCCTGAACCACACTTTCTTGCCTTTCCCCATAACCCTTGATACCTTTACTGATTAAAAATCTGTCAATCTCACCACTGAATACACTTAATGACCCAGATCTGACAACCCTCTGCTGTAAGGAATTCCACCGATTCACAACCATCTGAGAGAATAAATGCTTCCTCATCTGTCTTAAATGTGCGACCCCTGTTCTGAAATTAGGCACTCTGGTGCAAGACTGCCCAGAATGAATTTTTTTGTGTCCACATGTTAAATCTTAAAGAAACCCGTATGCTTTAATAAGGAGCAAGTATTTTTTGTATTACTGTGTCTGAGTACGTGAAGTCAATGGATTTCAGTGCTTCCTCCTGTTTGGTTTCATCCTTGATGGTAAAACTTCCACTGATTCTGACAGAGATGACCCCTGTATGTCTTTTAATGTCAGGAATTCACGTTCATTTTAAGAGTTTGGACGGGAACAATGAAGTCCTCGTTCCTATTTGGGAATCAAACAGAGAACACAGCAGTTGCAATGCTGAATCCCAAAAAGGAAGGTGTACACAATATTTGCAACTTTTCTTCTTGACACTGATTTTGACCTTTTGTTTCACTTGCAAAATGATAGTCAGTGAGATTTTAACACCATGGAGAGAGGCCCTTCAGCCCATTATACCTATGCCAGTCATCAAACATCTCACTTCTCAACCCAGTTTCCAACACTTGGCCCATCGCCTCGTTTGTGCTGACGTTTCACGTGCTCATCCGAATAGTTAGATTCTGTCTTGAGGGCATCAGTGAAACAAAAACACTTCCTTCAAAACAAACGACAGGAAATGTTGTTTGCTGCAACATGAAATCTATGTTTTTCTCTTTGAAGACAGTTATGAAAGCCAAATTCTTTCTCAGAGCCGTTTGCCAGCTTTCCTCATGATGCCAACAGTGTAGATTTAAATCCCACTCTGCCTGAGATTACCACTAATGATTCTCCCCTTTCAGCCTCTCTGCTGACATAAGATATGGTGTCCTTCAGGTCAACGCACCACCAGTTTTGTCTCTCCCCTGGGACCTAGAATGTGTCTGGCAACTCAGTGTCAGTACCAGTGTGGCTCAGTGTCAGACTTTGTGATGTTATTATCCCTGGGATGCAAAAGGGATTGTATTATTAATTAATTATTAATTGTATTATATATGTCAGTCGCCTTGGAAGAAAGTGTAGGAGAAAGATTTCTTTTACACATTACGATAAATAAAATTCAATCTTTACAATGGTGGCCACTGAACCCAGAATTCCGAGCGCTATGCACTGCATTGCTTATCACTGCGCAGGCTCAGCATGTTCCCGCGGGCCCACAGTCGAGAGCATGCGCAGTGGGAGCGATCCAGCTCTTGACCTCAGCTCCACAAAAGGTAACAATGAAGCAGAACGGAGGAGGCGATAGACCGGGCAGTTAGACGGGGAGGCTTTCTAAACACTTTGTGGATGCGGCAGTCTCCGCATAAAGAAGCTATCGGTGCCCGTTTCACAAAACGTGACAAATCGATGCTCCCTCTCAACGGCAGGCCGCGGCTAACGGCCGCCATCTTTGTGGGGTCAAAGGGCAGCAGGGCGCATGTGCGGTCATCCTGGGCCAGGAGAAAGAATGTTGTGAATGTCTCTGCTGGACTGAAAGGGATGGAGTTTATAAACTGCTTTGCAGGGAGTGAGGAAGGGAGGATTGACACACAGCATACTCCAAAAAGCAGAAAAAATTGTCTCTTCTGAAATTCTGTCCTGGATTGACTGAGATGGCTTTTGTAAACTTATCTTACAGCATGTTGAAGAGGATTTACAGAGTGCAAATTCAAACCACATAACATACCAAGATCTGAGTGTGCCACTTTATTCATTATTCATTCAGCACTGGATATTATTGGCCTTTCAATGTAAGTATTGAGCAAGATAAAAGTTACAAAATTCCTTCCTTATATCTCCCAGTAACTATTGCCTCGTATCCTAAATCTGTTTCTCTCTCAGGTTTACTGTTGGTGAAGAGGAACAGCAGCTCTTTGTCGACCTTACTTAAACCTATTATAAACCTAGACACTTTATCTCAATCTCCTCTGCTCTGTGCAGAACTTCAGTTTCCCCAACCTGACCTTAAAACTCATATCCTTCTATTCTTGAGCCATTCTGATTCACCTCCTTTCAAATCTCTCCTCAGATCCTCACATCCTTTGTCGAGATCACCTGTTTGTGCAGACCCAAATGCTTTCTGTTCAAGTCGGTGATGTTATCTGACATGAGCAATTGCCCAGTGATATCACCCTGATTCCCAGCTATTTGCTGAACTATGGGTTTCCTCTGATCCCAATGCTTCTGATATCTTTTGAGCTGCAGACTCCAGCATTTGATTTTAAAGTTGAACACAATGAAATTATTTCAATGTTTTTAACCAGTAATCTACACAATTCACCTTCTCATGCTCTTCTCAGTTATCTGACTCTGGGACTAATGCGACTCATTTTGTCACCCCCTCGTTCTGTGGCTTGTGTCAAAAGCTTCTTTCTAACACTCGACATTGTTCTGGTCCATCTCTGCTCTCCCTGATCACCTCTATCATTTCAATCTGCTCTGTCTCCTATAATGTGTGTAACTGTCTTCGATATTTTATTGTTACTTCCATTGACTCTCTCATGAGGTTTTTACAGCTGAACATTGCCTGACCTCTTGCTGCTGGCAATTATCTTCCCTTAATGGGTCCCACAAGACTGTTAGGTAATGAGTTATTCACCAAGTGGTGATGAAGGAACTGTGATATGTCTAAATCAATGGCAATTAATTTATATCGATATTGCACCCTTCACACAGTGGAAACTTCCAATCTGTTCGTCGAGAGTGTTATAATGCAACTTTTATGATGTTATAATATATCAGGAAGTGCTACACCTGCCCCTCCACCTCCCCTTCACTTCCATCCAAGGCACCAAACAAATCTTTCACATCAGATGAGGTTCACCTGCACATCCGTCAATGTGGTCGATTGCATCCGCTGCCTCCGATGTGGCCTCCCCTACATCGTTGAGACCAAGCGGAGGCTCGGAGACCACTTTGTTGAGCACCTACGCTCTTTGCAACAAATGACAACACCTTCCGGTTGCGAACCATTTCAACACCCCCTCCCACTCCCTGGGCAACATGTCCACCCTGGGCCTCCTCCAGTTTCACAATGACATCACCCGGAAACTGTAGGAGCAGCAGCTCATATTCTGCCTTAGGAGCCTACAACCTAATGGTCTCAATGTGGACTTTACCAGTTTCAAAATCTCCCACCCCTGGCCTCGTCCCTCTCATCCCCACCTCCTTGACCTGATATAACCTGTCCATCTTATCTCCCACCTATCTGCTCCTCCCACCTCACTGACCAATCCTCACCACTGCCTGCCTGCACTCACCTCTCACCATCCCACCTCCCTTCCCCAGCCCCACCCCTCCTCTCTCTTTCTTTCAGAGCTCCCTTCCCCCTCCCCCATTTCTGAAGAAGGGCGCCGACCCAAAATGTCAAAATTCTGCTCCTCTGATGCTCCTCAGCCTGCTGTGTTCCTCCAACTCCACTACGTGTTATCTCTGACTCCAGCATCAGCAGTTCTTACTATCTCTTGATTTCAATGCCTGGACTCTGATGAAGACTCCTGACTCGAAATGTCGACTTTCTTGCTCCTTTGATGCTGCCTGACCTGCTGTGTTCCTCCAGCTCGAAACTGTATGGACACTTCTTTGAACCTTGTTTGGTATTTTGTTGTTATTTCTGCCAATTGTTTCTTAACGAGGTTTCTGGTCCTACCCATCTCTGGTTACATGCTGTTGATTTCCCAGCTTTATCTTTCCATGGTCAGGAATTTTGTTTTGCACTGGAGATCATTTCTGTTTCTGAGCTAAGTTTGACAATCAAATACTTGTTATGACGTCAGGATACCAAAGCAAAACAAATTAGTCTCACTATAACTGGATTCACAGCAGTGAAATTTAAAATATTGAAAGACCCTCAAAATTGCCCAAATGCTCCTGACCAGACTTTAATAATGACCGATCTGAACACCAAATTTCTAGAAAGAAGAAATACAATAACTTAAGCAAAACAAATACAATCAACTGGGCAATCTCGTCAATATCTGTGATTTAAACACAACCTTCTTCGTTTATAACCTCCACTCTCACCGATTCACAGACACCCATAAGGGATATATTAAACAGAAAATAAAATTAATGTAAATTTTCAGTTCAAGTAAACAGTTTCAAACAATTGATATCAAGCCTTTGTGCAATCCTTGGATAATGAGTTGTCCACAGACACATGAAACTTTAGCGAATTTCAAAGTCAGCAATGAATATAACAGTTTCAGCAAGCTTCCATAAATATTATCTTATTTCCTATGTTGCAGTCCTCAGACCATTCAACAATTTGATAACTGGATAGAAATTGAGAGACAGAGCAGTCAGTCCAAAAGCTTTCAAAATCACTCTGCTCCACCTTGACCTTTTTGAACTGCTGCAGTCCGTGTGGTGAAGCTCTGCCCAGATTGCTGTTTGGTAAGGAGTTCAGGATTTTCATTCAGTGGTAATAAGCTAGTGCTGATATCTGAGACAACAAGGTGCAGAACTGGATGAACACAGCAGGCCAATCAGCATCAGAGGAGCAGAAAGGCTGACGTTTCGGGCCTCGACCGTTCATCAGAAAATGCTGATAGTGCTGATATCTGTATTAGTTACAGTCATTTTGTTTTAATATCCCACCATGAACAGAATAGAAACATGGAAAATAGGACCAGAAGTAGGCCATTGTGTCATTTGATCCTGCTCCCCTATTCAGTATGATCATGGCTGATCTTTCAACGAGTAGCCTGTTCTCATTTTAGACCCACATCCTTTGATCGCTTTAGCCCTCAGAACTATAGCTGTGTTCCTTTTGGAAACATCCAATGTTTTCGCTTTAACTGCTTTCTGTGGAAGAACATTCCACAAGCTCACCAATCTCAGAAAAGAAATTTTCCATCATCTCAGTCCGAAACAGCATACTCTATATCCTTAAACCGTGACTCCCTGGTTCTGCACTCCCTCATCAACTTCCTTCCTGTATTTAACTTGTTTGTCCTATTAGAATTGTATTGGTTTCTATGAGATCTTCTCATGTTCTTCTAAACCCCAGTGAATTTCATCCTATCTGATCTATTCTGTCATTATACGTCGGTCCTGCCATCCCAGGATTCATTCTGGTAAACCTTAATTGGACAGCCTCCATAGCCAGAACATCCTTAGTCACGTAAGTATTCCAAAACTGCACATAATGCTCCATGTGTGGTCTCACTAAGAGCCTGTACAATTTCAGCAAGTCATCCCTGTTTCTGTTCTCAAATCCTTTCGCTATGAAGGCCAACCTAACATTTGCCACCTTCATTTCCTGCCTCTACCTGCACGCTTACTTTGAGTGACTTGTGTCCAAGGACAAACAGGTCTCGGTTCTCGTTTCCCTTTTCTAAATCCAAGCTGACTTACTCTGACTTTGTCTAATCCTGTTACTGTTTTCCAGTGTTGGGCTAACCATTCTATAAGTCCATGTTTTCTCTCTACCTCCTTTTTTACATAGTGGGCTTACATTAGCTCCCCTCCAATCCATGGGAACTGTTCCAGAGTCTATAGCATTATGAAAGATGACCATTAATTTCCTCAATTTAGATTCAAGCCCCTAGTTTCAGAATGCATCCACTATCTCTCCTGCCACTTTGTTAACTACTCTGGGGCGTATATTATGAGGTGCTGGGATTTGTTGGCTTTTAATCCCATCAATTTCCCCAACATTATTTCCCTAATACTGATTTCCTCACTTCCTCCCTCTCATGTGATCCCCAGCATTTTAGTGATATTATTTATGTCATCATTTGTGATGACAGAACCAAAATATGTAGTTAATTGGTCCGTCCATCGCTTTGTTCCACATTATAACTTCCCTTGTTTCTGATCGTAAGGGACTTGTTTTCATTATTTTCTTTTTTCTCTTCATATCCCTTTTGGAGCTTTTACAATTAGTTTGTATGTTGCAGTTCCTCCAAGTGCTCTCTAAATATTTGTCAAACCCCTTAAAGTTTAAGTTCCTCAAGTTATTGTAGCCTGCATGCGCCTCATAACACTGTAATTTCCTCTCTTTAGATTTTGGCCACTGGTCTCAGAATCATCTCTGTCACTCTCCATCTTCATGAAGAGTTCTATCATGAAGAAGTCTTCACTTTTCCACAGCTAGATTGCCAATTAATCCATTCTCATTACACAATTAAAATTTTGAAATAAAGTTGCTGTGGTCCTATAAGATCGTTGGACTGTTCTGTCTCTTGAGAGAGAGAGAGACAACTAATGGTGCTTTAACCTTAGGGTTACCATGCCTCAGTCAATGGGCAAGGTTAAGACAGTGACCTCAGCTAGTACAGGAAGTGAGCACGTGCTGCTGGTGTCACTTTGCATTACAAACCAGCTGTCCAGCCAACTGAGCTTACCAAGCCCTGATCATTACACAATACACCATTGAGGATGGTCTGTCCTCTCTTTGGGTACTCAATATGTTGATCTAGAAAACCATCTCGTACACAACCCAGGAATTTCTACTCTATGGTATTGTTGCTGATTCGATTTGTTCAACCTATATGCAGATTGAAGTCACCCATAATAACCATAAGAACACAAGGCAGAGGATTAGAATTAGGCATTTCGGCCCACTAAGACTACTCCACAATTTGATTATGACTGATATGTTTCTCACACCCATTCTCCTACCTTCTCCTGTTGATCCCCTTACCAATCAAGAACATATTTATCTCTGTCATAAGTACACTGAATTACTTGGCCCCCACAACCTTCTACGACCCTGAGTTCCACAGAATCACCACCCTCTGGCTGA